CGTAATTAGAGCATTTTTATTGTTATTGTTGTTGTTTTTTTTACTTATAGAAGTGTTTACTGAAACGTCTTTTAGTTGCGTTCATGGTATTATGTGGCGTTCCCTTCGGCTTCCTCCTACAATCAATTACAATGGTGATGGATCGAAGGTTCGTCCATAGGGCTAATCCCATCGGATTTCGGATCCGATAATCGGCGAGTGGACACTGTTGAATGAGCATTCAATTGAGATTGGGATCCATCTCCTCTCCTGCTCACTCCCTTCATCCATGTAGGCGCGTGTCCGCACAGTGTATACGTACGTAGGCTGCGTGCGGAATTGGTATCGAATCCATCCATCTACTAGTAGTTGTAGTAGCAGCGTAGTAGTAGTAGTACTGGGTTATCTGCATGGACCTCCCCTTTAGATTAGGAACACGATACTACCTATATCCAGTCAATACACGTTGGGTGGACGATGATGATGTGTGTGTGTGTATGTATGTTCGAGTGATTTCCTGCAAGCAAGTTGTCATCGTCCTGTGTGAAGCTTGTCATTCCCGGACGGCATTGTTTGGTGGCCGTGTGTTTAGATACGATGCGCCGCTGTCCAACAATGCGTACAATTGCATGTGAGCCTCGCATTGTTCGGGCCCTTTGTGCCCTAAACAATCGACAACTATTGATACGCCGAGGGTGTAACGACTATAGATTAACTATTCCGTAAACGATACAACCCATTACCTATGTAAATTGATTGTTATTAGAGTCACAGAGGCCAACAAACCGTCGCCAATTGTATCATTATTATTATCATTATTATTACTGCCATATTGCTGATCGTAATGAACAAATTAACTCGCAGATAATCGTATCAATAAACTTCCAACATCGCCACTCATTAACTTCCCTTCAAACTTTATGCATTCTCACAACTTTCTAATATCGAAGATTATAGCACAACTGCAACAATAACCCTCATAGTCCGGAAATTAATAGACAAACTTATTTTTTATACACAAATTTTCCTTGTTGACACAGTCAATATTCTTATTCAGGATTCAAACAGTCCGGGATATCGGCGGAACTGATAAACCGGACTATACGAGGTATTGATGTAACATGTATGACATACTAAGTGTATTATTAAATTCGTTAAGCGAGGTTCTACTGTATATGGATATGAAAACATTGTAGCTGAAACTTGATATGAGACATAATATGAATGCAACTATGTACTATAGTCTGATTTCAAACGGGATTTGAACGTCTTTGAAATCTTTAAATTTTACTACTATTTACTATTGATATAAAACCAACAACTTCAGATATGAAGTAAAGAGACTTAAGGATCTCAAGAATTAGTCTTGAAAGATCTCGTATAATATAAATAAACAAATCTCTTATATTTTAGTTAAAACAGTAAATTTAATCTTGAATATAATTAGTTTTAACTTGATTAAACCAAATTTTATATAAGCTAATCTAAACTTTAGATAACTTTTCATATCTTAACTTATCTAACACAAACCTATTGTAATTTAGATTAAAAGCTCATAAATTTAGGTATAATCTATAGTTTATACTCTAAACTTTAGAGTATAAACTACACCTTTGCTCTACTTAAATCAACTAAATTCATAATAAGGTTTTAATTAAAATTAATGGTACAAATAAGAAACTACTACAAAACAATTATATTTGATATAACCAAATTTTATTTTACATAACATAATCCAACTTAAGCTTACTAAATCTTCAGGTTTATTCACTTATCTTCTTCAACAGATTGAAATCTAAATATATTTTTTGATTATCTTAATAATAGTTTAAACGTTTTATAGATTTATGGGATATTAATCCTATATTGAACTTGACTTTGACTAAATTTTTATAATGTAAAAATAATAATGATTATATAACTTATTTTGTGGTTTTATCATCATTACAGTTCGAGGTTACTTTACAAGAGCGAATCTGAGTATTCATGATTATACGTAATTTTTTTTGGTATTTATGCAGCATTATGCAACGAACTAAAACGGAGTAGTGTGAGCTTGCATAAAGTAGAGAAATAAAGAGAGTGGATGCGTTTTGCGAAACAAACAAAAAAAAAAGAAGAAGGAATTATCAAGAGATGTGAGGCGGCGTGGGGCGGCGACAACCATTCTCTCTCCTTTCGTACAGCTCACTATAATTCCTCTTCTTCCACATTATTTTTTTTGTCCTTCCCGTTTCCTTGCCTCGTCGCGTTTTTCTCTCTCTCTCTCTTCTCATATTTTTTTTTTGTATCTTTCAGCGTGTTTATTTTCGTCTCCTCCTCTCTTGGCGACATCCTTTTCAGAGGAAAATAGCAGCCACAGTCTCCTTCTCTTTTTTTTTTTTTTCGTCCTCGGCAGAACAGAATGGAGAGGAGAATCTCTCTGGAGAGCGAACGCGCGCTCATCACAATACACAATCCCCCCAGCCCTCAACCCCATTTTCCCCAGTTTCTTTTCTATTTTATACTTTTCTTCTCTTCTCTTATATATATTTTTTTCCCTCATAGTCATCTCCTCCTCCTGCTGCTGCTGCTGCTCTATATCGAAGAGCTTGCCGTTGTATGACTTTTACGTTTCTTACTGAAAGAACAAAGCTCATTCTAGCAGCTTTTTGCTATTCAGTTCCGATACTGATGACAATGACAATGGCTTTTCTATACTACCGCTATACTGAATCCTCCCCGCATCTATTACTTCTATTTCTTTTCTGTGTCTTCGCAGGAAACTGTGAATCTGCTGCGGCGTTCCCTTTTATTTTGATTTATTTATTAATTCGCTCCCTTAGGCTTAGACTGCGCCTCTTCGCGAGGGGTTAAATTAATGCTTCCTAGTGCATTTTCAATCAACACAATTTCCCTCGCGCAACTTTATCCCGCTCATTGTGTCCGGGAGTTTTATGCTGCACTCTGAGATGGCTCTGCCTCCATTAGGAGACGACAATGGGGCTTTCATCGGGATTAGCACAACTCTCCTGGGACTCCGCTCTATTTGTTTACTACTTTCTTCGCCTTCTATTAGTTGTCCTGTGTGCAAATTAAATGGACCCAAACTTTCAATCAAATCTAAACGTGAGTGGAAATACCGAGGAAGAGACGAGTAGAATCCCAGTCATTTCTCTCGGCTTTAAACAACTTTTATTTGGAGAAGAGAACGATGTTAACAAAGAAAGCGTGGAGTGGGAATAGAAAAATCTATTTTCTGGGACAATGGAATCGACGACGAAAAATAGCATTATATATATAGAGATATAGATAATCCATATCCACTCGACAAACATCATATTTTTCCCAAGTTTGGTAACAATGCGTACACACTCCGGATCCACTTAGGCCAATAATCGAATCATTTTCTACTTCCGCTCGGATCCGAATTGAAACGTTACTGATACCGAACACACACACAACAAATACGTGTGCACATAGGGAAACTCTTTTTCCCTTGCATTCCCGTCCACTCAACCAATCCGCGTTTCCACCTAATCGATCCGGTGGAAAATCGAAATAAAAATGGGAGATGATGAAAAAATGGTTGAAAAAAAAATATATATATAGAAAACAACCCGAAACCAACACAAAACGTTTGATTTAATATTTTTATTATTCACCTGTCAAACGCATAAAAAAAGTATGTGAACTAGACGCGCTTTGTTGAAAATGCGAGAGAAAGGACCGGAGGGAAAACGATTTTCTTCGTCAACTATTTCTGATTAGATTCGAAATATTTTTACCAATTCTATAAGAAGAATTTCAATTTGCATATTGTTAATTAAATCAGAATAAAATTTTATAAAAGCGCCTTAATTCAGATTAACTTACAGTTTGATTATAGAAAAGTTTAAAAGAAAATTTATTTCTTTTATTTGCATTTATTATTTCTAATAAAAAAATTAATAAATCTTTAATTAAAATTAAGATTAATAATTTTATTTTCTGTAATTTCCATATTCACAGTTTAAATCAGGCTTTTATATAATGTTTCAATAAAGAATAACAAAGAAAATTTTATTTTTCTTTGTATTTATTTCTTTTAATAAAAATTTTAATTTTCATATTGATAATTATTATAAAATTAAATTTGAATTAATAAAATTGTGTAAAATATTTATATATTTGTGTTAATAGAAATTTAATTGAATCTATAAGAAATCTACTGTTTTTATAAATCAATTTAAAAAAAGAAATGTAAAAAAAGAGTTTTTATCGGATTTTTATGCACAATATTTGTATTAATTGCAATTTCATTGAATTTCTAAGAAAACTACAACTTTTACAAAGCAATGAAAACATGTTGTGTATTGTATTAATATTCTGAAAAAAAATATCAATATAAATAATATGTTTCAGCAGATTATTATCACAACAAAATGTTGATGTTTGAATATAAATGTTATAGAAGTTAAAATAAAATTTTCAATAATAAATAGATATAATAGAAAATATGATTATTTTCTTAGAAATAAAAGTTTTATAAATTATTAACTTATTTATAAAATATTGAATACAATATAATAAATTGAGCAAAAACCAGTTTTGACCACTCAAATATTTCATTAATTCTTAATTCTGCGAAATATTGTAAAGACTAATGTTACTTACCTTAAATTATTTGATAATTTTTGAATATATTTTAATCATAGAAATCATAGAACATTTTGATTAACCTTAATTAATCGTCTAATAATGAACCAAAACTAAGACAAAAATGAATATCATTACATAAAATGAATCTGGAAAACAGAAAATTGATTAAAAGATTTTTAAATAAACGATTTTTATATAAATATCAATAGAAAAAGAGAAAAATTATTACAATTTTTGTTCTATTAAACATTTGTTTTCATCATTTTTTCAAGAAATTAATAAATATATAAGATTTATAATCAATTTATTTAAAAATAAGTTTAAATTAATAACAAATTTAACAAATATTATATTTTTATAACTAAATCTAAAGAAATGTTGTTTATTATATTGTACGGTGTTAAAAAAATGTAATAAAATATATATTTTTTGCAACAAATTCGTGTTTCTCCTTTATCTAATCTGTAGGTGAAATGATTTGACAGAGCGACATCGGATCTTGAGAAGAGAAGATAAAGAACATATTGATTAAGATAAAAATCCAATTAGCTGTTCAGGTGATTTCACGGACAGACTTCAGTTTAGTTTCCAATTAGAGAAAGGCTATTGCACGTGCTGAAAGTACACATTCTGACCCAAATCGTATCCGTAAATAGAAGCCCTTATCAGCGCGGTTTGCTGCAGAGCGTTCACATTGAGAGAACCGTACGAAGGCAACGAAAGCTTGTCGATCTGTATAAAATTATTTTGAATCTCAGCTTTTTCTTGCACCTTTTCTTCTGCAAATTTTCGAGTTACATAATTATACAAGATTGAGTTATGGTTTATTTACCTGGGATTCTGGTTTTATCAACTTTTGGTTTCCGCCTTGGCTTGTACTTGTAATCGGGATGATCCAGCATGTGTTGATTCCTCAAACGCTTCGCTTCATCGATGAAGGGCCTCTTCTCGAATTCGGTGAGAAGCTTCCATTCTGCTCCCAAAACTTTGGATATCTCCGAATTGTGAAGACGCGGATAATCGGAGCTGATCCTCTTCCTCCTGATCCTCGACCAAACCATGAAAGCGTTCATAGGTCTTTTAATCCTTCCGTCCGTTTGATCCATCCTCACCAGAAGCGACGCGAAAACTGAACCGTCAATCCAAAACAATAATAATAATAATGAAAAAAACGCAACGATCCTAATCGCATTGTGTCCGATCGATCATTTATCCAGCATTGTCCATCCGCTCCCATTGTCACAACATAAAATAGAAATAATGCAACAACAACGGTCGCCCATTGTCGAGCATTCCCATTGAGCGCACTTGGATGTGTGAATTACATTTCGATTCCAATTCATTCCGCAATATTATTATATTATATTTGTACACAAACTCATATTTATATTTTTTTTTTTTTGTTACTGTTGTCGTCGCCTCTATTATTATTTAATAATTACATTATGATGATGTTACGTAAATTCATTAATCCTCAATGGCAATAAATGCGGCTTCAATCTGGAACGAGGGTCGTCTTCGTCGTCGTCGTCTGGTGGATGATTCATTTGCATGATAAATTTTGCGCACCCGAAATCTCGGCATCCGGTGATGTAATATAATGCGATTCCGGCGATGATAGAGTGAAAGGTGGGAAATAAATTGATTTCGCGTTTCTGGTGACATATTAATGCACGTATTAAGATTCTGCGACGGCTGCCAATCAACCGTTCCAACAAAAACCCTTCTCTGCACGTACAGAAATGGATGTTGTACCACCATCACCACCCTCTCTTCTCGAATTCTCTCTCACTCTCAACTCTCAAAACTCTCGTGGCCTAAAATGCGAATGATGAATTGGGATATCTCACACCTCGGTGATATTGCGTTATTACATTTAATCGGATCACATTTCATCGTATTTATCTCACATATTTATGTCGGAGACATCCATCATCAAGGTTTCTCCACTTTCGTATCGCTCTTACAGCCATTGTCGTTCCAGCAACACCGTTTATTTTTTTTTTCTAACACGAGAATTACGACTTACGTGTGTGATTATCACTCGCTGACAAGGATTCTCGTTTCTAATCGTATTTATAAATGACATTTCATATTTCCGCTTTTACTATTCAACATTTGTCAGCAAGAAGGAATTGAATATAAAAAATAAAATACACGTTGAATAATAGTAAAGTAAAAGGGTTTTATAAAGTAAAAACTCCTCAAATAAATATTGTTTAACCTATATATTTTGTGAAGATGTACACAAAACTTGAAGTTATCTTAATTATGTTAATTAGAGCTTCAAAAATATCTCAGTTGACTGAATTTAATACATTTTTAATGTCAAAATTTATTGTAGGAAACAAAAATAATAAGAAACTACTAATCTAATGGAAATAAACTAAAATAGATAGAAAAAAGACTAATTATTGTAATAATGCGAATTTTTGGGCATAAATATATTTAACATTTGATACAGAATTAATAAACTTATAAGTTTTTGTAGCTTTATGTCTACATGTCTTTTACAGTTAATCCACATTACATAAATTCACGTTTTTTTCTTACCTGATCTATTTTTTTCTTGATTAAGGTACGTAATTACTTTCATATAATTAAGATCGTAAACGTAAATAATTTATGTGTTGTTTCAACTAAATTATTTTACTTCAAAAGTTTGTCAAAAAAGATCTATTTTCTTTGAAGATTTTCTAGTTTATACTTTTAATACTTTTGCGTAGAGCAGAATTATATTGTAGTGCGGTTTCGATCAGTGCGGATTCATTATAGTACGGTTTCACAATTTCAAAACTACAAGGGTTTTGAAGTACTCGATTAGTGCGGTTTCATACAGTTTATGGAACTAATATACTAAACTAATGGAAATAAACCTCTGCACTTAAACTGAGAATTTTCAACTGTTATTTGCGACAGTGGTTTCTATTATTAGATAGAAAAAAAACTATTTATTGTAATAATGCGAATTTTTGGGCATTGAAATTTGATACAGAATTAATAAACTTATAAGTTTTTGTAGCTTTATTTCTACATGTCTTTTACATTTAATCCACATTACATAAATTCACGTTTTTTTCTTACCTGACCTATTTTTTTTCTTGATTAAGGTACGTAATTACTTTCATATAATTAAGATCGTAAAGGTAAATAATTTATGTGTTGTTTCAACTAAATTATTTCACTTCAAATGTTTGTCAAAAAAGATCTATTTTTTTTTGTAGATTGTATAGTTTATACTTTTAATACTTTTGCAAAGAGAAGAAATATATTGTAGTGCGGTTTCAATCAGTGCGGATTCATTATAATACGGTTTCACAATTTCAAAACTACAACGGTTTTGAAGTACTCGATTAGTGCGGTTTTATACAGTTTATGGAACCTATTACCCTGACTATGCGCAGTATTCTTGTTTTCTCATACTTCATTTGTAGATTTCCTCGTTTAAATTTTACGTAATTACATTTTGAAATTACTGTAGTACATCAATATCTCGGCTTCGATTAGTGCGGATTCACTATAGTACGGAAAATTTCAAAATACTAAATATTGATTGAGTAAAATGCAATTAGTGCAGTAAGTTATATACATAAATGATCGTTGCACCACCATACAATTATGCATAATCGAAGTGTCATGTGTAAAGTATATGGCGGATATATCCGCCGCTCATTCAAAAAAAGTTTTTTCTTATTTTTCTAACAATTTGCTGTTCTGACTTAAAAATAAAAATCATAGTGTTCAAATAATTATCTAAAATATTTCTAAAATGATTAAATTACAAAAATAATATCTTAATTTTTCTTACTTATAAATTTTATTTATTACTTGCTTAAGAATAATAGAAAATATATAAACATATTTACTGCTCACAATTTGAGCTATCAAAAGTACTAATTGAAACAGTTGCAATTATCTATAGAAATGAGTTGTTCTATATTTGCTGTTATAAAAGAATTAAGTGATGGACTGCATTAGTGGCATTTGCCAGAGGATTCGGGAATTCTAGGCTACAAACCACTGCAACCCGAGCGACATAATAGATAACTAGTATTGTTAGCTTTGGAGTGTTCGCATTTGCAGTGATGAGTAGTGGCGAGAGGACAATGGGAACGAGACGGGAAAGTCCCGGATCATCCGATCGTTGGCTATTGCGTCGCAATAATGATAATAATAGATAATAATATAATATAGTATAGGATATAATATAATAATGCGTTCGAAGCTCTGTTTATATCGAAATAGGAATAGACACTCACAACGCACGGGTCCGTGGCGAGAGGGAGAGAAAGGAGACGGATAGATTACGCAATAAAGTGCCCATTCAGCCGACCACAATGGATCGATATTTATATGTAATTGGCCTTTTCCAATAAACCGTTGTCAACCTCTTCTTCCCTCCACTGTCCATCCACCTTCGAATCCAAACCACCTGGTCTCCTCGCTCCACAACCTTTCAATTGATACTGAAGCACCGATGAATGGCTTCAATCTTAGGCACCGAAACTTAATTGAAATCAATCAGGAACAGGACGAACAAATGAATTAATTTTGATTTAAAGGTGCCATTACTATATTAATATAATACACATAATGGAATATGAACATAATGCAAATAGAATGCACAATAGTGAATTATGCAAATGTCCTTGAAATGATCTAAGTATAAAATTCGTTAGTCTATTCATAATAGCAGTAGAATTCTAAATACAGCCTTACCTCGATTAACGAATTTGGATGCATTCCATGAAATTATTTCGTTAAGCTTCATTTTTAAACGTAAGAAAAAATGGTCAGACTTGGGATTGGTTCCTACGTAAGGAAAATGAAAAGTTATTACTTTTTCGAACATAGAAAAGTTTTATTAAATAACCTATCAACTTATATACAAATTTAATTCTGATTACTTAACTTTTCCTCCAAAATGTAAATCAATTTTAACTTTTCAAATCTTTTCTAATTTCACCTTCATTCTCTTTGTCTTCGTTGCTAATAGCCTATATCTTCAACTGAAAAACCATCTTCTTGCGCATCCAATGAATTTCTAACTTTCCATTACTTGAGTCATATGAATAACTTCATTTCCTATTTCTTTGATCTTATTTTCTTCTTCATATTTTGCTTGAAATTGCTGACTTAATTATGTCAAAGCTTCGTTAACCGAGGTATGATTGTATTTTTAAAAGTAATAAAATCAATTGTTAATATACTCATTACTCTATGCTATTAAATACACTTTATTTATGATTGAATTATATAAAATTTGTAGTTACATAACGTACTTTTATTAAAAAAATATGTTATTTGGTGTCTTTATATTTGGTAGAATAACAAAATTGACTTTTGTACAATAATATTATGTGATGTGTTCTCTTTTTTTGAGGCCAGATTCCGCGCTAATTATATATGATTTTAGCGGACAAACGTCTTATTTGTCGCGACAATTATCGTTTTCTTCTCATAAACAGCTTACCTAATAGGCGAAAAGGTGTTCAAAATAACATTATCTCCTATTCTACTTTTATGTCGGTTTATTGCATCTTACAGTTAGCACCGTCCACACAACAAATTAAATTAAATACATTTACACATTACGTCGTGTTAACAAATAATATACAAAAAAAATATCTTGAATTAAATTCTACAGATTTTATCTCTTATATTAAAACATTTTTATATATCTCTTTTATTTTAATCCATTGTATCAAAAATAGAATTGAATTTTATAGATTTAATATAAATAATTAAAGAATTGTATTAAATAATATTGAAAAAAATAACATATAAAATATACAAATTCAGGAAGATTCAATTAAAGAAACCAAAACCAAAAGTAAATTAATTACAAAGAAAAATCAAACAAATTCTTGTAAATTATTGATGTAATTATTGAAAAATTTGGTTAATGAAAAGAAAAGTAACAGACATAAATTGTTTACCAAAAAATAAAGAATGTATGATGAATTTAAAAACTATTAATTAAAAATTTATCATAAATTTTCTAAAAAATCTGTAATTTTCTTTCTATTTTTGTGTATTTTATTGTTTGCGGTTTAAAAGTCCAGTTTCAAATAGTCTTGGAATCGATTACACGCACAATCATAAAAGTTCTG